CGCCCCCTGTCCTCTCCAACTCCTCTTTCCACTCGAATCTCTCTCTTTCTCTAAAGGGCAGGAAGTAATTGCAGGTAGGCAGAGAGGGGGAAAGCACGGGGTGTGGAGAGAGGGAGAGTTCCATCTTTTCAAGGTAAGGATTTCTCACCAGTCTTCCCTAATTATATGGGACGTTTCTTGGTTTTCAAACACTTTTTTAAACTTAAAAATAAATTCCTCAGCTGAGGCTATGTTTTTATTGATTTTAGAGAGAGAGGAAGGGAGAAGGAGAGAGAAAAGCAGGTGAGAGAAACATGGATTGGTTCCCTCCTGTACGTGCCCCAACTGGGGATCGAACCCACAACCTAGATATGTGCCCTGACTAGGAATCAAACTTGCAGCCCTTCAGTGAATGGGACTGTGCTCCAACCAACTGAGCCACACCAGCCAGAGCAAAATACTTTTTTTTCCCCATTGATTTTTTTTAGAAAGAGTGGAAGGAAGAGGGGGAGGGAGGGTCACAGAGAGAGAGAGAAACATCAAATGTGAGAGAGACACATCGATTGGTTGCCTCCCGCATATGCCCCACCCACGCCATGATTGGACCTGCAACCCAGGTATATGCCCTTGACTGGGAATCAAACTCCCACCTTTTGATGGACAGGCCAGCACTCTAACCACTGAGCACACCAGCTAGGGCCAGGGCAAAACACTTTTATTTTTTAAAATAAATCTTTATTGCCGAAACCGGTTTGGCTCAGTGGATAGAGCGTCGGCCTGCGGACTAAAAGGTCCCAGGTTCGATTCCGGTCAAGGGCATGTACCTGGGTTGCGGGCACATCCCCAGTAGGGGGTGTGCAGGAGGCAGCTGATCGATGTTCCTCTCATCGATGTTTCTAACTCTCTATCCCTCTCCCTTCCTCTCTGTAAAAAAATCAATAAAATTTATAAATAAAATAAAATAAATCTTTATTGTTGAAAGTATTATATAGGTTCTCCTCCCTCCGCTTCCCCATTAACCTCTTCCGGCCCGCTCCCGTCCGCCCCCTGCCCTCAGGCCCTTACCTCCCCATCGTCTGTGTCCATGGGTTATGCATGTATGCATGCAACTTCATTGGTTGATTTCTTAAAACACCTTTAAATTAATTATCTCAATATTCACAATATCCCTATTATATCCTTGGTAGGAGATATTACTATTTTTATTTCATAGTTAAGGACGTGGAGACTCTGGAAGATTAAGTGACTTAAAATTGCAAAGAGAGTTAGTGGGGTGGGACTAGAACTTCGGTTCTCTACAGGCCCCTTCCATGCTGAGTAGTTATGGTCCAGCAGGTATCCCAGACGTGGGTTCCTAGCCACTTGTAAGGTATGTGGCCTTGGAGGCCGGCGTGGCTCAGTGGTTGAGTGTGGACCTACGAACCAGGAGGTCACGGCTCGATTCCCAGTCAGGGCCCAAGCCCGGGTTGTGGGCTCCATCCCCAGAGGGCAGCCGATCAGTGATCCTCTCTCATCATCGATGCTTCTCTCTCTGTCCCTCTCCCCTTCTCTCTGAAATCAATAACAATATTTTATAAAAAAGAGATGTGACCTTGGGAAGGCTGCTTACCTCTCCTGGCCTCTGCCGGAGAAACCGCTTCCGTGCGTGTCTTGGAAAGGCCTTGCCTTCTGATCCGTGATGTGCTGACCGAGGCTGAGCCCGGAGCCCATGACCTCCCCTCCCCCAGGAAGCAGCTTGTCCTGTGACCTGGGGGGCGGGGCGGGGATGGGGGGAGAGTCACTGGGTATCCCCGGGCCCCAGTGGCTTCATCTTTGTTGCTACAGCAGCAAGAAAGGTAATGAACTTTGTAAATGAACTTAAAAGGCTTTCCTATTAGAGTTTTTGTAGTATTTATTTTTCTAAGTGCTGTATATCAACTAGTTTAAATCACTAAACGGGTGCTTTGGGGATGTGAGCCAAAGGGGCAATATTTTTCTGAGAGATTTTCTTTTTTTTTAATATATATATTTTATTGATTTTTTACAGAGAGAAAGGGAGAGAGACAGAGAGTTAGAAACATCGATGAGAGAGAAACATCGATCAGCTGCCTCCTGCACATCTCCCACTGGAGATGTGCGCACAACCCAGGTACATGCCCTTGACCGGAATCGAACCCGGGACCCTTCAGTCCGCAGGCCGACGCTCTATCCACTGAGCCAAACCGGTTTTGGCTGAGAGATTTTCTTATCACAACCTGGATCCCAGCTATAGATCGGATGGATAAAACCAAATGCTTTGTTTTTTGTTGTTGTTTTGTTTTTGCACCGGTGCCGCCCCACTCCGCACCCCCGCCGCACAGGGCCAAGGGGAGGCTGACCAGGTTGGTTTTGATCTGATAAATGTATGCATCTCCCCCCGGGGGGGGGGGTCAGCACCCCTCCGCATGTGTAAAACTGAGTGCTTTGCATATCCTGGGAGCCACTGCCATCTTTTTTGTTGTTAACTTTCAGATCCTCACCAATGTCTGCACTCAGGTTGCGTTACCAACTGGGGACAGTGGGATTAGCCTAGCGCAGGCTCAGCCTTGGGTTTGTTGTGGAAGGTAGTTGTTGCCTCCCGAGATGGTAACCATGCGGGTGGAGGACACTCAGCAAGGCGACAGGCGTGAACTGTGAAGCGCCAGCCAGGCAGGTGGTGCTCTCAGGACCCACAGTGGGCAGCGCTGTCCCCTCTGACAGCAAGCAGAGCAGGCCATGCCCACCTCATTGGCTCCGTCCTTATGGGAGAGCTTTTCCTCCCAGAGCCTGGAGGACTTCTGCCTCCCCTTACCATTTTGAAATCTGTTTTTCCTTCAAGACTTAGTGCAAATACCACCTCTTCCATGAAGCCATTCCTGATTTCCCCTCGCCCTCCACCCTGATCAGACCCATTGTCTGCATCTGCATTGTGCATTATTTATACTTTAAAAAAATATATATTTTTATTGCCCAGCTGGGCATGGCTTAGGGGTTGAGTGTTGATCCAGGAACCAAGAGGTCACAGTTCAATTCCCGACCAGAGCACAAGCACGGGTTGCAGGCTCGATCCCCATAGGGGGCATGTAGGAGGCAGCTAATCAATCATTCTCTCTCATCATTGATATTTCTCTCTCCCTCTCCCTGGATCTCTGAAATCAATAAAAATATATACATGTATTTGTACATGTATCCCTTGCTGGAGACTGAGCCTGCAACCCAAGCATGTGCCCTGACTGGGGTGAACCAGTTACTTCCTGGTTCATGGGTCGACACTCAACCACTGAGCAACAGCGGCCGGGCATATCCTTTTGTTATAACCCTTATAGATTTTTTCTCAGATATTTTTTACGTAGGTTGTGAGATTCTTGAGTACAGAAATGTGTCTTCCTCATTGTTTTGTCCAGTGTCTGGAATATAGTAGATATCAATAACATTTGTCAAATAGAATTAATAATATGATGTCACCTTTTTAGCGGGCTGCATACCAAACACTGTCATAGGCTTTCCATAGATTATTTCATTGGATCTTTTTTTTTGATTGATTACACTTGCACACCCCCTACTGGGGATTGAGCCTGCAACCTGGGCATGTGTCCTTGACTGAAATCGAACCTTGGACCCTTCAGTCTGCAGGCCGATGCTCTACCCACTGAGCCACACCAGCTAGGGCTGGAGCTAGAATCGGACCTAGATTCACCTGACTCTGACCCAGTGTCTTCTGCCTTCCGATGAGTGAGTGAAGGTGAGCTTTTACGGGGCCGTGTTAGGGGCTGCAGCTCCGAGCCAGGGCGGAGCGCCCACAGAGGAGGCGGCCATTCAGACGAGGCCCGGTCTCTGAACACATGTCCATGGAGCAAACACTAGGGAGCATCTAGGTGCCGGACAGTCTGCGGAGGCTACAAAGATGAGGAGGACAAGACCTGCCCCAGGAGCTCCCTGGCTGAGGGGCTGGAGGAGGGGGAGCGACTGGCACAAGCGAATACCAGCCATGCCGGCGGCGAGAAGTGCTCTGGGAACCCAGGGGCCACCCAGCAGCTGGGCTGGGTCAGTGGGAAAGCCCTCTGGGGCGGTGAGAGCATGACTGACTGGCTGTCTGTAACCTTGACCCCTCCCCGTGCCCAGCCATGAGATGTGGGGTTTCCCCATGGCTTTCAGAAGAGCATTGTCACCTCTGGTACTTTTTTTTAAAAAAATCTATTTTTATTCATTTCAGAGAGGAAGGGAGAGGGAGAAAGAGAGAAACATCAATGATGAGAGAGAATCACTGATCATCAGCTGCCTCCTGCACACCCCCCACTGGGCATGGAGCCTGCAACCCGGGCATGTGGCCTTGACCAGAATGGAACCCGGGACCTTTCAATCCACTGGCCTACACTCTAGCCACTGAGCCACACTGGCCAGGGCCGGGCTCACTGCTGGTACTTTAATCCTCCCCCATCCTCCCCGATTCACACTGAGCGAGGACTGTCCATTGCCCTGACAGTCATGGTGGCTTCCCCAAGCCCGGAGGCCTCTGCTCACTCCAGCCCTTACCCAGCATTCCTCCCTCCATCACTGCAGGTTATAAGACCCTCCTCAAGTGCCTATCGGGTAAATTCTGCCGCCGGGAGCTAATTGGCATCATGGGCCCCTCAGGGGCTGGCAAGTCCACGTTCATGAACATCTTGGCAGGATACAGGTGAGGATGATGCTGGGTGGAGTGGGGGCAGGGCCCAGGGAGGAGGATCCCCCCCCCACGGGAGCCCAGCAGGTGTCCGAAGCAGCCCTGACCCCCACCTCCCTGCAGGGAGTCGGGGATGAAGGGGCAGATCCTGGTCAACGGGAGGCCGCGGGAGCTGAGGACCTTCCGCAAGATGTCCTGCTACATCATGCAGGACGACCTGCTGCTGCCGCACCTCACCGTGTGGGAGGCCATGATGGTGAGGCTGGCGGCCCCTGCTCCCATCGCCCCTCATCCCCACCCTCCTCCTGGGCTAAGGGTCAGGGGCCTCCTCTCACACACAGCCGACCCTCCTGTTCCCTGGGCCTCAGGTCTCTGCGAACCTGAAGCTGAGTGAGAAGCAAGAGGTGAAGAAGGAGCTGGTGAGTGGGGCAGGGGAGGGTAGGGATGGGACGGCCGTCCTTTTTGGTGCTACTGTGCTCGGCGGCGCTGAGTTGGGGGGTGGAAGAGTGCCGTACAAGGCTGGCGCCCTGGACTTAAGGGAGATGCTTAAGTTGGGGTGGGCCCAGCCTGGCCAGCGTGGCTCAGTGGTTGAACATCAACCTATGAGCCGGGAGGTCACGGTTCGATTCTGCAGTCAGGGCACATGCCCAGGCTGCTGGCTTGGTCCCCACTAGGGGGCGTGCAGGAGGCAGCTGATCAGTGATTCCCTCTCATTGATGTTTCTATCTCTCCCTCTCCCTTCCTCTCTGAAATCAATAAAAAAATTAATTTTAAAAATAAATAAATAAATTGGGATGGTGCCCAGGGAAGCAGAGACACTGAAGCCGATCTGGGGCTGGGGGGGCTGGGCAGGTGACGGAGATCCTGACGGCGCTGGGCCTGATGTCCTGCTCCCACACGAGGACAGCCCTGCTCTCGGGCGGGCAGAGGAAGCGCCTGGCCATCGCCCTGGAGCTGGTCAACAACCCGCCGGTCATGTTCTTCGATGAGCCCACCAGGTAGCGCTCCCCCCTGCCTGCGCTCACGCTGGGGGCTGCACCTGTTCGGCTGTGGAAACCAGGACCCGCCCTCAGCCTCCTGGGCCAGGAGGAGGCCCGCGCCACTCTCTCCCTGCCAGGCCCGTGGCCGCTGCCGCCGCCCTCACAGGCAGAAACCCTTCCTCCTTGCCTGATGCCTCCCTCTCCTTCTCTCGCCACCGCCAGTCACCAAGTCCTGCAGATTCTACCTCCTTCTCCACCTCTCAGATTCACCCTAGCCCCTTCCTAGCGCCAGTGCTAAGTTCAAGGCACCATCAGCCATTGCCTGCATTTCTGCAACCTGCTCCTGTGTTCTCACCTTCAGTCTCTCCCGGCCATCCTCCCTCTCGGCCGCCGCCACAGTGAGCTTTCTAAGAGCCAAGTTCAGCCCTGGCTGGTGTGGCCCAGTGGATAGAGCGACAGCCTGCAGACCAAAGGGTCCCGGGTGTGATTCCGGTCAAGGGCATGTACTTCGGTGGCAGGCTCCTCCCGGGCCCTGGTGGGGCTCCTGCAGGAGGCAACCAGTCGATGTGTTTCTCTCACATCGATATTTCTGTCTTTCCCTCTCTCTTCCCCTCTCCCTAAAATCAATGGGAAACTATCCTCAGGTGAGGATTTAAGAAAAAAAAGCCACGCCTGGCGACGCTCTCTCCCCCACTGACAACACGCATGATGCCATTTGCCTTCGGGATCAAGTCAGAGGGCTCACAGGCCCTGCCCTGGCCTCACCGCTTGCTTCACGCTGTCTTGTATGTTTGCTCTAATCATAGCGAGCTGCCTGGAATTCCTGAGTCGGGCCACGTGATTCACGCCTCTGAGCTTTGCACGTGCTGCGTCTTCTGCCCGGAATGCCCTTCCCCACCACGCCTGCCTTTGCACCTTCACCTGGCTTAGCATGTTCTCCTTCCAGAACCTTCTCTCACTTCCCTGCAATACCCTCATGCCGAGGGCTGAATACTCCACCTCTTTCACTCCGTGTTTCCACAGCACGTTCCATGTGACTGCGAAGGATCCGGGCACTTCTCTGCCTCCTCTTTATTCCTCATTGTAATCCCGGTGCCTGGCATTCAACAGCTGCTCAATATATGCTTGTCACATTGGGCTTCTTGGTCCCTCCAGATGTCTGGATCATAGTGTGCACAGGGTGGAGGGGCTGGCCCTTCCTGCCAGCCCCATCCCCTGTATAGTAGCTGTCCCCCCACCCCCCAAACAGTCCCTTCTCCAGGCTCCGCCCAACTCACACGCCTCCCCTCCCCGGGGCCTCTCTCTGGACAGCGGTCTGGACAGCGCCTCCTGCTTCCAGGTGGTGTCCCTCATGAAGTCGCTGGCCCAGGGCGGCCGCACCGTCATCTGCACCATCCACCAGCCCAGTGCCAAGCTCTTTGAGATGTTTGACAAGGTGAGTGTCTCTGGCCTCGGACGCCGGCCTGCGACGGGGCGAGGGAAGGGTCCACAGCGGTGCTGCCGGCTGCCTGCACCACGGGCTTGTCTTCCTCACCCTCCTCTCCGCCTCAGCTCTACATCCTGAGCCAGGGCCAGTGCATATTCAAGGGCCTGGTCACCAAGCTGATCCCCTACCTGAAGGGCCTGGGCCTGCACTGCCCCACCTACCACAACCCAGCCGACTTCAGTGAGTGGGCCGTGGGCCAGGGTGGGGGTCGGGGCTGGGTGCTGAGGGGGCTGAGGTGGGGGCTGGGGTCATGCTCCCCGCCTTCACCATACACCCAAGTGGGGCCGGCTTGCCCTTGGGAACTGAGGCTAGAGCCTGGCCACGCACCCGCTCGGTGTCCCCAGTTATCGAGGTGGCTTCTGGCGAGTACGGAGACCTGAACCCCACGCTGTTCCGGGCCGTGCAGAACGGGCTGTGCGCCATGACCGAGAAGAGCCTCGAGAAGAGCGAGGCCCCTGCCCCCTGTCCGCCTTGCGCTCTGGTGAGGAGGGCCGAAGAGGGCAGAGTGCGGAGTGGGGGAGAGGGGAAGGGGTCAGGGTAAAGGCCTGCCAAGGCGGCTGCTCAGAGGCACCGCAGCCCGGGGCTGGGAGCACCTGGGCCCGGGGATGGCCACGGGGAGCAGCTGCCTCGCTTGCGTGTGGAGCCTCTCCGTGCTTCTGCTTTCTCCTGCACTCACTCCTTCCGTCAGTCTTTGAAATTTGTATTATTTTTTTTAATCCTCACCCAAGGGTATTTTTCATTGCTTTTAGATGGAGTGGAAGGGAGGGGGTAGAGAGGGAGAGAAAAACACTGATGTGAGAGAGACATCAACGGGTGGCCTCCTGCGTGCGACCCTATCAGGCTGGGGTTTGAGCCTGCGTCCCAGGCACATGCCCTGGACCAGGAATCGAACCTGTGCCCCGTCAGTGAGGGCTGGTGCTCTAACCACTGAGTAACTGGCCAGGGCTTCTTCAGGGAATGTTTGCTGAGCGTCTCTATTGTCCATGTGCCAGTACAGTGCCCCCGGGGAAGCCGACCGAGGCTGCCTCTGGCCTGTGGCCGGCGGGGCTGGCTGTGCTCCATCCCGGAGGTGCTGAGACAGCTCTCAGGGCTGCTGGGGTGACGAAGATCATCACCAGTGACAGCAGCTGGTACCAGGTGTTCCTCAGCGCCAGCTCTCCTCCTTCAATGAGCCCCTGCTGTCCCGTTATTGTCATTGTCACAGAGTATTACCGTAGAGGAGAAGGCCTGGGGGTGCTGCTCAGGGGTTGATTGAGTGTTGACCTGTGACCCAGGCGGTCGAGGTTCGATTCCCGGTCAGGGCACATGCTGGGGTTGAGGGCTCGATCCCCAGTGTGGGGCGTGCAGGGGGCAGCTGATCCATGATTCTCTCTCATCATTGATGCTTTTCTCTCTCTCCCTCTCCCTTCCTCTCTGAAATGAATAAAAATACATTTTTTTAAAGTGGTGGCATAAAGGTATTATACCCTTAGAATAAATGTGTGTTTTTTTGTTAATCCTCACCCGAGGATATTTTTCCATTGATTTTTAGGGAGAGTGGAAGAGGGGAAGACAGAGAAACATGGATGTCAGAGAAACACATCAATTGGTTGCCTCCTGCACCAGCCCTGATGAGGGCCCAGGCTGGAGGAGCCTGTTACTGGTGTATGTGCCCTTGACCAGAATCAAACCTGGGACCCTTTGGTCTGTAGGCCGACACTCTAGCCACTGAGCCAAACTGGTGAGGGTAGGCTAAATGTTTTATGATGGATTCAAGAGAAGAAGAGAAGTGACTGACCTACTGGGGGCCTCCTGGGTGTTGTTGACTCCCTGTCTCCTCCATTCCAAGTTGCTATCCCTCTTCCTGTCTCTCTGTGTCTCCTTGGGATTCACACCCTAAGGCTGGCTTCCAGGCACACAGCTCGGTGGTGATTAGTCCTCCTTCTGTAGATGCAGAGGCCCTGCCCTGAGGAAGGGCCCGGGTTCTGTGCCTCCACTGGGTGCGAGGTGGCTGGGTGTGTGGGTGTGTGGGTGGCTGGGTGTGTAAGTGGGTGTGTGGGTGGGTGT